TCTCCCCCACATTTTTGAATGGGTTTTGTTTCACAATCCTCTCCAGGGTGCGGTTATCTCTCTTGCTTGTACACTTTTTTCGACCACATCTTTTCCTTCCCTTCGCCTCTCTATTAATGTGCTTGGACACTGAGCTCTGTGAACAGCCAGCCTCTTTAGCGATGACCTTTTGTGTCTTGCCCTCCTTGTGCAAGGTGTCGATGGTCGTCTTTTGGACAACTGTCAAGTCAGCAGTCTTCCCCATGATTGTGTAGCCTATAGAACTAGACTGAAAGACCATTTAAAGGCTTTTGCAGGTGGTTTGAGTTAATTAGCTGATTAGAGTGTGGCACCAGGGGCCATCAATTTTGAACCTTTTCACAATATTCTAATTTTCTGATATGATGAATTTGAGATTTTCATTTGTTGTCATTTGTAATCATCAAAATTAAACAAAATAAACATCTGAAATATATGAGTTTGTATGTAATGTATGAATATAATATACAAGTTTCACTTTTTAAATGGAATTACTGAAATCAATCTACTTTTTCATGATATTCTAATTTTATGACCAGCACCTGTAGTTTAAGCCCCTCACCTCAGGCTCTCTTATTTCTGATTTCTTCTCATTAATCAGTTTTGTCCATATATTACCTCCACAAACAATTGATGTACAAAAACAAATAATTTTTACAACTTAATTCTTTTACACAGATTCATTGACTTATTCAATTACACCAAACTGGGTTTGAACCCAGCAAAGACGCAGCCAGACTGAAGATGACAAGTCCCCATAGCATAAACACGTACACACCCACATACCCACACACACACCCACACCCCCCACACAACCACACACACACACACACACACACACACGGCTAACCCCACTGAAATATTAAGTGTGCACCCTCAATATGCCAGCAGGTAACCAGGAACAGCTTGTGTGTTTTACGTTCATGGAGCTACTTGGCTCAGCGCGAGTGTATTGGTCCTCACAAACACAGTATAACAGGAATGTGTGTGTGGCGCGCAAAGTTAGAGAGGTTGTTTTAAGCGACGAGGTGGATTCGTCACAGTCACAATAACCATGACATGAAATGTTCATATCCTACAACAGGGATGTTCTTCTGGCAAACGGGTAGATAAATAAGGATCTCACCGAATTTGGTGGAAGCTGCATCTCGCTCGTTACATTCGCCATCTTCCCTCTAATTGTCTGCACCTGCGCTTGGGTTCAGAAGCCTGTTAAAGCACAGTATTTTCAGAGCCCCAAGACCATAAAGTTCCGAGACGCTGATTGGCCATTAAATTCACCTAGCAATAGTACATGATTGAATGATTCTCTGCATATGTGGGGCTGTCTGATAGGCGCCCCCAGAACAGAGACGGTAGGAGTCTGTCTGTGGAAATCCACAAATTAATGACAGTAGATAGGGAAATGTAGTTTATATAATTTGTTTTGCTTATAGGTACACAGTCTAGAAAATAAACTGACATTTATGGGTTAATTTCTAAAAATATATTTTACGTTTCTCTCTTCTTATCAGGGAGGGCGGTGCCCCAGCGCCCCCTATGGGCCGGCCGCCACTGGACATTTGTTAAATATGACTACTTAATATTGTGCTGGACTTTAATGTACGTGTCGACAACCCTGAAGACAGAGATCCAAATAACCAGTGATATTGTTTAAAGTTTTGGTTGGACTTAAAATGTTAAACAACTCACACTTGAGGACATACTGCATTTTGGACTTGGCCATCAGTAAAGGTCTAAATATTTCTAATGTTAATCTTTCCTACTGATCTAATTACCATAACAAATGTCATAAGAAAGCATCTTATCATGAACCGTACAATTAATAATGTTACCCAGGCTTACCATTCTCCTTCCCCTTCACCCTGTCATTTTTTAGATAAGCTGGTGGATATTTTCCATTCTAAAGTTGCAGACACCATTGGTTCCATTGCTCCAGACAGTAAAAGTTGTCTCTGAGAAGATGAAACATTCACGAAGAAACGCTCCAACAGTGAGAAAAGAAAAGGAGGAGGGCCAAAAAGCTGAACGAAGGTGGTGAAAGAATGGACTCCAGATTAACTATGAAATCTATAAAGAGAACCTTCACAGATATTATTTACGAGTAAAAGATGCAAGAAAATCTTTCTTCTCTGAGATTATAAACAAAAGCATCAATGATGCTCACACCTTATTTGCCACAGTTGACAGGTTAACAAACCCTCCTATCCATATGGCAGGTGAACTACAAGCTAAAAAGGCCTGCAATGACTTTGCAAAGTTTTGTACTGAGAAAACACAATGTATTAGAAAGGCAGCATGCTCATTAACATCAACTCCAGTGCCAACACTGTCTCTAGTTAGAACAAACTGTTAAAATGTCCAAATTCTGCCAAATAAACTGCAAAAGTCTGGAAGAGACTGTTCAGCAGCTAAGCTTCTCTTCCTGCTGTTTAGATGTTTTACCCCCTTTTTTATAAACTGCTTTGATTTAAATCATAAACACAGTCCTTACTTCAGGTCTTTTCCCCCAGGCCTTAAAAACAGAAATGATCAAACCATTTTTGAAAAAGAGAATTTTGGACAGTAGCAGAACTACAGGCCCATCTCAAACCTCACATTCATCAGTAAATTTACTAAAAAAGTTTTTTTTTCAACAGTTAAAAGCCTTCTTAACAATGAAAAACCAGTTAGGTTTTAGTGCCAACCACAGTACAGAGACGTCCCTGATTAAGGTGTTCAGTTATTAAAAAAATATTTTAAAAAATCAGAAAAGGTCCTTGTAATTTTCTGTGAAGACCTTTTCTGTTTTTTTTTGTTTGTTTTTTTTTTTGTTTTTTTTTTTACAGATTTTTCCTCTAATGTAAATTACTCTGAAATGTTGCCCATTGTTATTAGAGGAGTTGCCAGAAATAAATTACCTAAACAGCTCTGATGAATAAATTTTACTTACTTTATACTGTGAATTTACAGACATTTGTTTTCAGCTGCCTTTCACTATTGAAGTTAAACTGTTAACTGAGGTATTATTAGTTTAAGGTTGTGGTCCAGCTATTTTATTGGTTTAACTACCTGCTTATGATGTTTTTAACTATTTGCTTTTACTCTGATTTTAGTTTTTCTTTACAATTTTGCTATACAAATAAACTTGCCCTAGTTTGATTTACAGCTCTTTAAACACATCTGTCACTGTCTCAAGTGAGGTGAGTTTAACACCATTAGGTGTAAAAGGTGCTGACAAAGAGATAAACAAACCAAGACCTTCAGGAAAGTTTGAATTTGACAGCAGACCTGGAGCACTTTCATGGTATCTTGCATCATGGATGTTTTAAAAGTCAACCCTGTTCAAGCTAATCCGATAAAAAATTTGCTTAATTTAGGCTGAAGAACCAGTGAAGGATCTAAAACATGAAGGAAAGCGGCCTTTGAGGAATGAATGAAACATCACAGGCAAAATGCCTTTAGAATATTTTTTTTTCTTCGGATGAGAAAATTTAAGCTACCGGTATTCAACTACAGTGACAAAAACAGTTTGGATGAGTTACATTAAGGACATTGTACAACAGGAACAGGAATAGCAGCACCAGGCTGAAGGACTTTTGCTTAGCAGTGCTATTGTTGCTGCATACAGACTCAATATAGCAGTGAAAAAGACAAACTACATCCAAATTATTTAACTTTCCCTTAAAATTAAATTAGTAATTGAAGCACCTTTATTCTAATGCAAGTGGAGGAGTATGCATATATTTGAACATCTGCAAATGGTTTTAGACCTCATCTTGATATAAAATCTATGATAAATTTGAAATTGTGTGTTTAAAAAAAGAAATAATTAATGTCTGACCAGAGTTGTATCTGCTGAACAGCTTATATTATTTTACCTTTTAGATACTGTGTATATATTAAAAAAACAACAAAAACATTGTCATGCAGTAGAGGGGCATTATATATAAACACAGTGTAAAAACAGACCTAGAAATGCCTTAAAACTGGTTTAAATATGTACAGATATATATATTATGGAACTCGTGTGTGTGTGTTTTAATGTGTGTATATATATTCTTCTGAAAAACAATAAATAAGGTAAAACATATAAATGGCTCATGGTGTGATAAAAAAAATCCTATGATTCTTGCTCTGATGTTAGCTCTGAGTAAGAATAACACAGCTGACATCATAAGAAGATTAAAACGTTTGGGGAGGCCCCACTGAAAACATCTATAACTCACATCCCAGGCACTTAGTTTGGACTTAAAATCATTTCACTCTAAATGTGGACTTTCCTGCATAGCAGAACAGTTTATTAAAAATAACTGATTTTTTAAACAGTTTTTAAGCCTGATACTGTTAAGACCTGGGTAGATAAAACTTTGGTTTGTCATCTTTCTACATCTTCCATTTTAGTTGATGACTTACATTCAGCTTTTAAATAAAAGGTAGTATCTGTTGTGCCATAACGTGGTCAATAAATAAATCTTTACATTTTCTACACGAGGAATGTAACATCTCCAGTATACTGTTTGTGTTTTATATTTCCAAAGTCTGCATAACTGGAAAGTCTTGTATGTTTGCTCAAAATATAGACACAACATTGGGTCCCAGTCACTCATGGAAAATGTTTTTTTCTTTGTTTCCCTCTCCTCTTTGATAGTTTTTCTTAAGTGTGTGTTATTCTGCAGCTTCTTGCAGGGCTCTGTGTTTACTTCAATACGCCATCCTCAGGAGTGAATATACATCCGTCTTCTGAAGAAATCCGTCAGAGTGATTCGAGTGTGAATTCAGTCTCTGATCTTTAATTAACATAAAAAAATGTTCACCTTGGTTTAGGACCCAACTTATAGCTGCAGCAATTTCAAATATTGCTGTTTGCGTCCCTCTAGATCCGTAGCTTTATTTGATGCTTTTGTGCATTAGCCATGCCACGAGGAAATAAATGCAGCTATCCATCCTTTGCATTCCTTGTGTTCTCTGCTGTGTTGGAGTCAGACAGTGTTTTCTTTTTTTTTTCCTCACATGAATCACTCCACAAGATCCAAGCCAAAAGCTACTGAAGTGAAAATCTCTTTACTTTCCAGATCATTTTGCATTGCAGATGCAAGAGAGGCTGGACTGTGTGTGGTGTTGACATTGTCAATGACATCCTTCCGGTAGGTAGAGGGGCGGGGGCTGAGCAGACAGGTGAGCACAGATGGATGTCCTGCTGAGGGTACAGCTGTCCTTTGTCAAAGCAAACATCTGGTAGAGGTCAGGCTGTTCCCAGGCTGTGATGCATGAACTACAAGCTGCATCAGTCCTTGCAGCTAACTCGCCATGTGTTTTTCAAGCATGTGCCTGTATTTTCATCTTTTCGGTGTCTGTCAGTACAGGTTGTCCTTTGTGGTGGAGGTGTGTGTGGCCGTAGAGTCATCGGGGAGGGAGCCCCGTCGGCCGAGACGTGACCGGCACTGCAGCAGGTTTTGAAGCTCTCTGGACACGCTGCTGGAAAAGGCCGTGTAGATCCACGGGTTGGTGCATGAGTTCAGGCTGGCCAGCAGCATCAGGATAGTGAAGGCTACTCCTGCAGAGGACACACATAACGGAAAAAAACTGTGTGGATCTAGTGCATTATTACTACACATCTCCAAATATTATCATGTTATATCCAGGAATTCAAAAGTGTTTTACTGGTATTTAATGTGATATAATTTGGTTCTGGAGAGGTCAGCAAATCACACATTTATTTAAGTCAGTTATGTGGAGCTTTAGGAACATCTAAAACATGCTGGACCTTGGACCCTTAGGACCAGGGTTGAAGACCTTTGCCCCAGAAGAGCTGCAGAGCCTCTTAATTAGTGCTCCTCTTGTCCAGGCTTTTAGTTCAGGTGAAAGGTCATGTGTTTGTGGGCCTGTAGCCTTCCCTGACCTGTCATATGTGTTCCTTGATCTTTATGCTCTACAATTTTCTCTAACAAACCTCCAAGGACTTTGCAGAACATCTGGTTTTATATAGGGAATACCTTTTTTAAAAGAGGAATTTCAGTAGCTTTTGAAAGAAGAAAGTTCCACTTGATTTGGTTTAGGCTTATTATAGTGAAGAAAGGTGATATACAGTATTTATTCTTATATTCATTCAGCCTCACAATCCAGGGCTAATTTGTGTTTATTTCTGTTACATAAAATCCCAATAAAAACCTATGAATAATATACCATGGTGAGTTTTGAGAAGGCTAAAGCACTATGAATACTTTTTGACAGCTACAATCATAAGTGAGGAGGGAGCATTTAAATATGAAAGCTGTGTTTGCTTTTTCACTTATTTCCATAAAGATTATAAATATTTCAGAGGAACAAAACTGTGAGTTCTTTCTTTTTAAACTTCATTTTGCATCTATTTATAAGCTGTTTATATAACCTCTGGTTTGGTTTAGTTTAGTTTGCTGTGGTCACTCAAAAACAGCAGAAATGTTGCAACAGCATTTTTTAATACGGAGCTGATAACAATCATCTCCATGTTTCTGTTTGTGTTTGTGGAGCCCCATGCCAGGGAGGACTCATTCATATTAAAACTTTAAATATGCATGTGTGAGTGTGCTTGTATTTGTTCCTACAAGCTTCCCGTGGCTCAGCCTGTGTCCACGTTTGTGTTTTTGACAACATGAGCAAGCTGTTGGCACATTTCATTGTGAATGAAATGTGAACACCTGGTACGTAGTACATAATTAGCAGGAATATACAGAAGTTATGTACTGTTATTCACCCATTAGTCACATATTATGTCACAGCTTTAGGAGGGACAACCCTCTTTTGGTTGCGCCACCTCTAGCTGCCAGTAAATATATCAACAAATGTTGTTTGTGCTTTAGTTCCACAGAGACATGTGATCCAGGGGTTCTGGTTGTGTGTCAAAACAGACATTGTTTTGACCTTGTCTTTCATTCCTTGTTACATCATCTGAGCCGGAGCCTGTTCTTGGAATAACGAAATGGTCCTTGGAATAATTTCTCAATAAGACAGACAACAGGCAGTGATTGGAGGCTGCAGCTGAGTAACATAATCACTTAGTTTTTGGCCTGTCTGGTTTGACAAAACAGATAAGCATTGCCCATTTAAAGCAATTAAAAAGATTATCATGCCTGAGGAGAATTAATCCATCCGGGACAAAACAACATTAAGGATTCTTTTTAGATCCTTTGAAGCTCCTTTCTTCTCTGTCTGTCTTAGACACATACTGTAGAATAAATCAATTTTCTTATTCTTTATACTTTTACAGATTTGTCCCATCACATCCAAAAAGGTTAAAAGCCTTTATCTATTTATTTTTGGGACAGACCAACACCAAAGACACCAAGAAATTCTTTAAATGTGAACATCAATTCCCAAATATTTTCTTAATTTTATCAACCACTTTGAGGTTTGGACTTTGACTATACCATTATGAAACATCACCATGTGTTTAAATAAAGCATGCTTATACTCTGTAGTGGTTTCAGTCATTATCTTATGTGCAGCAAAGATGAAGCAGATGGATGAGCTCAATAGGGTGTTTTGCTGTGTTTTTAAATTCCCCTATGGACACAGTGCAGGTGGTGGGAGACAGAAGGACTGTAACAAAATACATGTTAAATGGCCCATACCTTTATATTGCCTTTTCAATTCAGGGGACCCCAAAGCACTTTACACTACATTCAGACATTGATGATGGTAAGCTAAACTGCAGACTCTGCTGCCCTGGGGAACACTTAGAGAAACCGGGCTGCTGCGCAGCTGTGGTTGCAGGAGGAACTCCTGCATCCCTCGCCGCTGTTACCCCAAATAACATCACTATAGGAGAATGCCTCAAACCCCATGCTTGAAGATTTCACAGAACTGTAAAGTTCATTCAGTAATTTTGATCCTTTTGTGCACAAAGGACTGCAATCCTAGATCCTTCCCCCCGGCTGCTGTTGGACTGTATATTCAATACTGTTCCTAACATGCATAGTGAGTGTTTAAAACCATGCCGTTTTTTTTTTTTTGCACAGCTTTTATCTACTTAAAAAGTGTTTCTGTACATTAAGGATATGTTCACTGTTTTTACCTGCCCCATTAATATTTCTACACCCATGCAGCTGTTCACATAGATTTCTTTAGTTTGAAATAGGCTGCTATATTTCTTTTTATCTCTAACATATCTCATTTGTCCTTTAAAAATTATTGCACAATGTGGATTTTCCTTTGCCATACATTCTATTTTAACTTTTTGGTACTTCTATTCTATTCTATTGAATTGGATTTGTTTGCAAGGTAGCACTGGTTGTATGTTTAGGCTTGTTGATTTGTTGGAAGGAGAACCCATCCATTGCAAATCAGATCTTTCCATCAACTCTGACCATCATCCCCCTAGCATCCTTCTACCTCTACTGTGTTTTATCATCAGTAATGAGCAACTTCTTGTTCTGTTTTCTGTTTTTATTCTACCATACATGTGTTTAGCAGACATGCTAACAAATTTCTCTATCAGTCGTCTTCAAAATGTTTGTTTTGCCTCAGTAGGGAGAATTTCAGATGTCACTCTAATGTCTTTGTCAGTGTCACTTGGCTAATAGTTGCTCAGTTTATTCATGATTCACCCTAAGATAAAGTACTCCACAGCTTCTCCAGATTCCCTGGATATCTGGAGGCGTCTCAAACTAGATATCTAAAGTTTTAAACAGATTTAATTATATGGGCCTCTACATGATTTTGTGGCTTTTGAAGGTCAACATTTGAACTGGTTGTTATTTTATGCTTTATTATGGTAAAGTGAAATGGGCATTACATTTGTAACAAATGTTGAAAACTGTTAATTTTGCTTCCATGTAAAGCTACCCAGCTTAGCTTTTGACCCAGGCAATTGTTTAATTCGAGATATAAAATAATTTCCGTTCAATATTCAGTACTTGCTATGTAGGGATGCACAGTGTGTGCTGCCCTTCTAAAAAACTCCCTTATGTAACTTGAGAGGTTTTGATCTGTAGCTAAATGCGTCATTTGACCCAGAGTGCTGCTTTACGAGCTAACTGTTGTTAAGGAACAAAACATAAATTACCTGAACAGACATATTTTTTGGCTCTCTGTTGAAGGATTTAATCTAGAGGGGCAAATGTGACCTTGAAATTACAAGCAAATCTTTGACTTCTCAGTCTGCTGGTCTAAAGTGATCTGCTATCAGATTCCATGGCTCCATCTGAGCAGTGCAAACTAGTGACACTTAAGTCATATTAAATGTGTGTCAGTGGTCCCCATGATAAGTACTATCTGAGTATTGCTGGCAGTAAGGAGCAGTGTGGCCAACTCCTCAGTAAGGAAAGTAGCTATTGGCTGTGCTAAAAGTCGCTAGAAGTCGCTAAATGACGTAATCGCTTAATTTGCATAATCTGCCACTGGAAGCGATGTGCATGTTATTGATGCTGTGGGAGAAATAATGTTGTTACAGAAAGACAAAAAGTGATTAAAAACATTATATAATAGTGTTTTTCCTCACTTTACTAAACAATATATAGAGCTACTTTTTTCAGGGTTTGATTCCCATTTTTTTCTGTATTTTTGACTGTACAGTTTAGACTAAGACATAATGATTCTCACCAGCAGATCAAGGTGATTAAATGACTGACTCTGGCTGTGTGAATCAAATGCTGTTATGTATTTAAGATAAAATATTTCAAATTCAGTTATTTATTTTAGACCAAATAACATTTTACATTTACATCCCTCTCGCTCCCGCCTTAAATGTAAGTCAGGGCGGAGCTGCACCGCGTGATCATTTTGCGCTGTCAATCCCGGCGCATGTGCGCTTCATTTGCAGACTGGACGCTGAGGATAAAAACATCCTGCGGCTCTGACTGCAGCGCTGAGAGGGACTCCTGCGGGAGCGGGAGAACGAGGTTGGGATGGGGGAGGCGCCCCAGGGCAGCAGCTGCCGCTGGAGGACAGGAGTAGGAACGATACATGCTTTCATGTAAGAGTCTCCAAAAGCCGCCAGTGACACCGTAAAAAGTCGCCAGATTTGTCGCTAGTCGCTTTTTTGAAAAATTGTCGCTGGAGGGGTCTGAAAAGTCGCTAAATATAGCGACAAAGTCGCTGAGTTGGCAACACTGGTAAGGAGGGAAGTAGGAAGAGGAAGCAGGATCTGTCCTATCCGATGTAGGAGTTTTAGGGTTGCCCACAATCCTTCACCTGTTCACTATATTTGTGATAATTATGTTTTTGTAAGGTTGTCATCCAATTTTGTAACCGCACCTAGAGTTAAACCTGGCATATGGCATATGCCAGTTGGAAACTGGTTTATGCCAGTGTCACTCCCATTCTGACCTGTATCGTTCATGTCCCTGGTGTAAAGATATTTCTTAAGCTACGAACAGGAGGTAGGAGCTACAATTTGATGTATTGGGAAGGAGCCCAAAGCATTGGAGGAGACAGTGCACTGTTGCCAGTGGCCCTCGTGGGGGTTACATCACAAAGTTACAGATCAGGAGCCTAATGACAGCTAAATGACTGCTAATGAAAACTTTACGAGACGTGAATACTGATGTTGATCACTAACCTTGGTCTGGAGGGTCTGGATCCCAAGCCGCCCACAACTGAACAATGAAGAATGGCGACCAGCAGATGGTGTAGACCAGCACTATAACTAGGGTCATCCTCACTGTCTTGGACATGGCTTTAGTGATACTGTGAGGTGGAGTGACCGGATGTGGAGGGGGGGCACAGTCCAGGGCACAGCGGGGAGAAGTGGTACAGGACTCCCAGAAATCGGAGCCCTTTGGTATTTGCTCCTGCGATAATGATGTTCCTTCTGTCTGACGTTCACCGCAGCAGCTACTATACTGAATAACAGACGGCACATAGTCGTAATGTTCTCCCACTTCGCAGTCATGTAAATTACTGTCCTTCAGCAGTTGTCCTCCTCCTCCTCTCCTAGGCACCTGTCTTCCCCTCTCCCTTTCCCTTGCCCGGTCCTCCTCTTTCCTAAAGCCGTGGATGCGAAACAGGTTTTCACTCCTTTTCAGTTCAGCCATCACTATCCTCTCTGACTTCAGGTAGATGTTGTTGTGAATCTCGCGGAAGATTCTTATCTGAAAGACAGCATTTATAGGAGCCCTTCAATATCTAAATCCAGATGAGTTTTACTGTTACCACGTGCCAGGAGTAGAAAAAAAATTATTATGAAAGAACATGAGATACAGGCTGAGTTGGTATCAGTCATCTACAATTAAACTGTCTCTGAAACCTTTAAGTAGCATAACTAAACAGGTTTATATCTTTACTGCCTTAGAGAACGGTGTCTATGAAATTTTATGGTGCTGAAATTGGCTCCACTTTTCCTTTTCAAAGAAAATCTGAAAATCACTGAAAAGGATTTTATAGTCTGACATTCCCAGCTCCATCCAAAGTCATAGAGCTAATCCACTAAATTCTCTAAGGCTTACTTTATTAATATTTTTGCAGGCTTTGATTCCTACATTTATTGCCTCTCAAATGTGCACATAACCCTGTGTTGTAAAAGCAAGACCATCCTAATATTTTCAGTCTTTTTTCCCACCTTAGATAATAAATTTATTTCATATTTTATAGAATTTTTATACTATGACATAAAAAGCTAGCTATCAACAACAGAAAACAATGACATTAGAAAAACAGGGACATGGACAAAGACATGGTCTTTTTTTCTGTTCAATTTTTGGAGTGTTTTAACACAGATTTTATGAATTGGTTTTATCTTAGTATTCATATCTTATTTCTGTAAATGTAAATCCCTTTATTGTCCCATAATGAGGAAATTCACTCTCTTCATTTTAACCCACCCCCTTGGGGAGCAGTGGGCTTCCATAGTGTGGCGCCCAGGGAGCAGTGTTAGGTTAAGGGTCTTGCTCAGGAACCCAGATTGCAGACTTGTGTTTTAAGCACAAGTGTACTGCTCTAACCACTAGGGTAACACTTCCCTTTAAAGGTTAACATCAAGCCACCAGTTGGTGACCCAATACAACTTCCCTGATCCGGAGTCGAACCCGGGCCACAGCGGTGAGAGTGCTGAGTCCTGACCACTAGACAATCAGGGACACCAGTTTGGGTAAACTTGCTGATTTTATTTTATTTTTTTAATGAACTACATGAGTGAACCAGATTTGAGTCACCTAAAGAGAACTAAGGAAAAGAGATGTTCTCTGAGTTTGGCAGTTGAAAGGCAGAGAGGGGAAGCAATTTCAAGACAAGATGTAGGATCTTGATAGAGACCCCATATAATGCAGTGAAAGCTGAGTCAAAAGGTAATTCAGAAAAGTATTCATTTAACTGGTCTAAGGCTTTTTTTTATTACATTCCCCTCTAAGACATTAGTTTAAACTGTAGGGGGGGGGCAACTTTTATATATGAAGAAGGGAGATATGTGATCAGCTGCTAATATTTAAATCAGAGAAAGCATTTAAAGGGGTAATCACTTTGAAAGCCTGTGTGTGTAAAAATACTCCTCTTGAATCAAATGCAATATCGAGAACTAGGTTACTGATTGTGAAGTCGGCTGAGATTGCATATGTTCCACATCCTGGCAGATCGCTCTCAGAGTGGGCAGCCGCCTCAAGCTCTGGTTTAATTAGGGAGAAACGGCCAGACTCTTGAAATATCTTTCCCCAAATAGAGCAGGACCGGTGGGAGGCAGTCCAGAATGTCTGTTCACCACCTTACACCAACTGCAGCATCCCATGGGCTGTTGGACAATGGCTGCCAAGTGCACTTTGCATTTCTTTCATGCCATATGCATCATTACCTGATGAGGTTTTTTTGAGCATCTAATCCTGTTATCAATAGTCAGCGTACGCTGCAGGGAAGCAGCCGGTGCAACCAGTATTACCTGACAGATGGTAATGATGAGGGCGGGCAGCAGGAACACAGCCACGGTCATCCAGGTGACGTAGGCCTTCAGCCCCCACGGCTCAGTGAAGTGACCCCAGCACTCAAACTCTCCTGGCGCTACTTCTGAGCGGGAGAAGATGAACACCTGACGAATGTAACAAGAACCTGTGGTCAGCACTCCCACAAATATGATGTAAGATCATTTTCAGTCACCTGAACTGTAGTGACCTAATTTAGCTAAAAATAAACCATCAACTTAAGCTGATCTGTAAAAACAAAGGTGTGGACACCCGATTAGGGCTTATTTTTCTATTTCAACATGTGTGAGTGTGTGTTTTGTAAGTAAAAGGTTTTGTTTGTCCACCCCTCCCTACCTGCGGTATGCTAAGCACCAGAGCCAGGCCCCACGCCACCATCACAGGGGTGTTCCAGCGGGACATAGCTCCAACGCGGTAAGCCTGCAGTGGGCAGCAGATGGCATGGTGCCGGTCGACTGTCATGGCAACTATCATGTAGGAGGAAGCAAACATCCCCACTATCTGCAAGTACTTGACGGACCGGCAGAGCAAGTCAGGCCCCTGAAACCTCTCTGTTATGTCCCATATCAGCTGAGGCAGTACCTGGACACAAACAGGAAGAAAACCACTATCAGTTACACCTTGTTATGAAGCTTTGTCTTTTTTTTGTTTTTTGTTTTGTTTTGCAGAACTATGGAGGTGAAATAGTGAAGGTCATCTCAGGTGATACCGGCTGTTATCTTTGTTGCAAGGTTTATCCTTTTGTGCAACATGCCCCTATTCTTATCCTGATGCACATCAGTAAATCACAATGTTGCAGTGGATTACACACCTCTGCAGCCTTTAACAACAGGAGTCTATTTATACGCACTTAAAAACTGTCCCGACAAATGACCTTATACTCCTGTATGCGATAGCACACTAAAAGCAACAACTTACAATGCTCATCCCTGTAGTTATGAGCAAAACACTTTATGATTCTACATTAAAAAAGCTAATCTTATATTACTGTATTTCTTTTTCCCCAAAAGACTAATCAGAAGTGAGATGATGATTTCCAAGCATGTAATTTTTTTTTATGGGATTTCTGTATCTTTAGCTCCATTCAACTTCCCCTGCCTGGACTTCAGAAAAAAATCCCCACAGCATGATGCTGCCACTTCCGCATTTCATCCTGAAGGCTGTTCCTATTGGGTGGTCTGCAGTTTTATTTTATTCCACGCATTGTGGCTAAAACATGCAGTTTTGGTCTCATCTGACCGGAGTGCTTTCTTCTCCTATATTCGCTATCTGAAGGCAGTTTGTAGCTCTGGATAACCTTTATTTAGGGGAATTCTGTACTGAATCAGAAAAATTTCCCATTAAAACAAGAACCTGAATTGAACCGAAGAAAGAAGAACACATCTAAATTCAAAACTTGTGGGTCTCACACAACAACAGGTATTTTTTTTTTAAGTTAAAAACTTTATCTGGATTAAATTTGACCACATCCCTTATAATAGCACAATCTTGAAAAATATATAGATATTTTTATGATCATATTTATTATATTTATACAAATACAAAGCATACAAAGCTACAACAGTATTTGAAAAATGAAATGCCTTGTTGAACGCCTTTGTCGTGCATCATTAACGTAACAAATTGGTGTGTGATGGTAAATTGGCTTAGATCTGCCTATCCAAAACAAGACCTGTTATCAAAACAGACATTCTACCAGATAAGCCTGATCACGACATGCAGGATAGCTGGTATCCTTGCCCTGATAGTTTTTAGTTCACTGCAAGAGCATCTGCTCTGAATGAGTAATTTCCAAAGCAAGTATGGAATAATGATGACAACATCAACAAAAAGGCTCAGCCAATATGCCATTTTTGTTTGTAAATAAAGAGCCCTTAGGAAATATTTTGCCAAGATCTCAGATGTTAAATTGGCACAACAAGTCATTGGATGGTCAAAAAGACATGAGAATTCCAGAGTAGTTCATCGACTATTTTATGAACAGGCATGTAGAGCAACTACGATAGATTGATTGATTGATTGATTGATTGATTGATTGACTACAATGATCTCACAGTGGAGAAATGTACTTGTTACATCGGCTCAAACAGTCAAAAAGAAGAAGGTGCCAAAAGAAGGAAAAGGTGCATAGAGATATATTCAGTATATACAGTGCATCCACAGACGTCCAATACGGATGGATTCACCAAAATATTTCTTGTTCTTGATGCAAGCTTTGTTCTCAAAATCTCAAAACAAAGAGGTTATAAATTTGACAGCAGCCATTTTAACTGATAGCAGTGAACCTGGAAGTCACACAGTGTGCTCCAGCTTTCAACCTTTGATTCTATGCTTCAGTGTGTTTCAGTGCTGATGATGGATCCCTGATGAATTACCAACAGATTTTCCCGTTATTAATTAATAACTTAAACCATATAACATAAGGTTATTTTTTATATTTATTTGCGTATTTACTGACCCACATACATTCTTCACTATGAGCAATATTAGCACACCCACATAGTTACTACCTATTTACTGTAATATGTAGTTAACTACTTACCTACTAATTTATTTACTTTATCTTATTAATTGGTTTACTTAATGCTTACTAACCTAATTATTCCTTCCTTCCTTCCTTCCTTCCTTCCTTCCTTCCTTCCTTCCTTCCTTCCTTCCTTCCTTCCTTCCTTCCTTCCTTCCTTCCTTCCTTCCTTCCTTCCTTCCTTCCTTCCTTCCTTCCTTCCTTCCTTCCTTCCTTCCTTCCTATTTCCATGACATTCCTATCTAATTATTATTACTGTGTCAATTCCTTGAATTACTTCAATTGAATTATTTATTTACCCATTAGCCTACCTAATTTTATACTCACCTGGATGTTTTATTATTATTTATCTAACCTTTTAGCTGCTTACAGTAGCTTTCAAAATATTTGCTTCTATTCTTCATTGCTTGCCTTATTGATTACATATTTACTTCACTGCTTTCCTTTAGAAAGAGCAGTTTTTCATGTCCCAACACTACTATAGATAAACCAAATGAACTGACCTGAAAGAGAGCCACCACCAGGTCAGCCACACACAGGTTGACCATAAACAGGTGCATAGGTGCATTGTGCTTTCTTCTCCTCAGAAGGACCCACAACACGAAGCTGTTGCCCAGCGTGGTGAGAGCCAGAACCATCCCCAAAACGGCGATCTCAGCCCGGGCCAGTCCTTGGTCCCTGGTCCGGGGTTGAGGCAGGGAGTGAGGAGTGTTGTTGGAGCCATTCTCTTGAAAGATACCAAAGATGGATCCTCCGGTGCGAGAAGCGTTAAACGAGCTCAGTTCAGTTACAAACACAGAGAAGTTGTTTCCTTCGGAGGCGCCTGGAGAGGAGAGACCTAATCCATCCCAGTCTGTTTCTACGCTGATCCTTTCCATTCCTGAGAAAACAAGCAACGTGTTAATGTGTTTATTGTTTATCAAAACAATTTCCGGCAAAAGATAACAAGCAGCTAAATTTGGGAACACTCAGAGGCCTCTGTACTCTCAGTCTGTCACGACACAAGTATCATGTTCGATCAGATAATGTAATTTACCCGAATGAAAACTATTTTTGTTTGCTGAGTCCGTTGGGTGCCTTTTTTGTGTTTCTGTATCAAGTAGCTGGGAATCCCAAAAAGCTTACACGTAAGCACAGAGACTGTTTGTCTTCAGAGCATCAGAAACATTCTCACGTCATTCACCAAAAACAGATTTTCCTAATGTTCCTAATAAAGTTTTGACTGAAAGCTAGACACAATACCAATCACGGTGAGCTTTGGAGCTCTCTCACATTTTTTTTTTTTGTACAGCTCCCCAGCTTTTCCACTTGTCCATCCAACAAAATTCCCATTTTGTTTGACGTAAGTCTGCTTAGATTTATTTACTGTTTCAAACTTTCTCAAGGATGAATTGACAGCTTTCTCCTTTATCCCACCAGTCTACATTCATTCACCTCCGCACCCAACTGTTCTCATCTCATGGTTCCCCCTCCTCTGACATTCCTGTCTCCCCTTGTTTTTGTTCCCCTCTGTAGCTTTCTCTCATGTCACACTCGCTCTTGATCGCAATAAACTTTTGGTTTATTTTCCTTTGCTTAAAAAAAATAAATAAATGCCAAAAGAGAGTGGAAAGTTGATAGGGGTGAGATGATAATTTGAGAAACAGTCATGGGTAGCTTGGGGTGGGGGTGGGGGGTCAAACTTGGTCAAATAAACCAAATGAAGACTGGAGGATGTAAGGACAGATGAAGGGACTGGAAAGAAAAGATGTGAAGCCCAAAAATAAATTAATAAAAAAAGGAAGATTATAGTACGGGTAACATAGAGGTTAGCGATGTGGGATGTGGGTATACAATGCATGCAGCCATACTGGTCAGATCTGAAGAAGTGGTTACATTTAAATGCCTCAAATTAAATTATTAAAATATATCTGCATATCAGCCAGACCAGACCCTGACCACATTTGAAAATATTTTCAGATAAAAAACCTGCAGTTTTCAGAACAGGGGCTGAACTGTTAAACCTAACTAACATTTTCAAATCAGTGTTTTAGATTTTCGTAGTCATTAACCTGTGTTTCCTTTTACCAAATTTCCTGTGATTGAAGGCCTAGTCGCTGCTTCTTCATCATATTAAAAACCGCTTTTTTTAAATTATCCTATTAATTATCCTCATCTTTTCTGAGTCATGACATGGATAAGTAGTTGATGCACTGTTGGAAGGTTGGCTGATTTACTGGAACCTGAAAGCTTAACAAATGGCTTGTCACTGACAGATATATGCGTTCTGAATCTTGCATTGTATCTTTAAATGTAAAGATTATTAGAATGTTGAGAATAATTATCTAGATTTCCTTTTTTGTTCCAGACTGCTGGGCTTTTCTGTTATCTTTTAAAGCACAGTTTTGAGCTCTTTTCTGTTTTGCTTAAATTTCATGATAAATCTTTACTGGGATACATGCACCAGTAAAAGGGCAGGTTTACCTGTATAATAGGCATGATAACAGTTAAGGTGGATGTATCTCTCAGGATTGATGTCCCATGAATGTGCAATTTGATTGGCTTCATTCATAGTTAAAGACCTCTCTGTCTTTCAGTATAAGTGTCGCAATGAATGGATGCCACCCCTAAAAATAGCTATGAACCATCCAGTGATAATACGGAGCAATCAAACGTGTCTAATACTCCATTATGAGGTTATTGTCACTGCTACACTAAGGCCTAATGGCCAATTTGCAAGTAATAACCCCCTCATTGACAGCCGTGTGAGATAAGAGAGCTTATGATGCTTGCAGCCTAAGGTAACGGCTTTGCCAGATGAAGTTTTCAAGATGTACACGTGATAGAGCATACCAGCTGGCCCTCTGTGTCCAACAGGATGTTGGAGATGGGGAAGGAGGGAGAAATACACTTTTGGTTTATATGATTCCATACAGATGTTTTTTATTATCATGAAACGTTAATCCAAAAATATTTTTTGAGTTTGAAGCCTTGAATGCTCTCCTATTATGTTTTCATTATTTTTCTTTGCACACAGTAAGGTCTACTGCACTGAGGGAGCTTCTGACCTTGCGTTGGTTGGTCTTATGTCCTTCTCAGCAATAACAGTATAAATTATGAGCTCAATTATAAGAGCCGCTATGCTCCTTTTGAACCGATAAATACTCTTATTAAATATGAGTGCCCATGTCATCAATTTCTCATATGAAATCCTGTTTCTTAGTTACATCAGGATATGATGTGCATGGAGGTTAGAATTAGTGGCACTAAAGCAACATAAAACAAAATAAATTATGTTTAATCAAATTAACATATTTATTACATACTAAAGAGCTTAGATGTCTGAAAGTGAGGGCTTTGCATCCTTCTTCCCTTTAAGCATCAGCTGTTCTAAACCATCAAAGGACGTGGTGTTTTTTCATTCAGTTGCTTCAGCTTCATTTGCTTTGCTTGTGCATTACAGAGATCCATCCAGGCTGTCTTTCGCACGCTCCGTGACTTACTGCATAAACATGAGAGGCGAGCACATCCGAAAACTTCTGCTCCTCATATTTCCCATATTCAAAGAGGAAACTCGCCGCAACATGTTGAAAGAACATCACGTCTGCAGAACCGTGCCGGATGCTGTTTAATGTATTCCAGGCACATCGCATCAATCCCTGTTTGTCCGACTGGCTTAAGGTAAAGCTCAAATTATCCCATCTCCCTGCGCTGAATGGACTGTAAACACTGCTTTTAGGAGTTAGTACACTACATTGCTTCCCCTCTTTACTCTAGAGCTTTCAGGCTGATTAATGATGGAGTTGGAAACCTCGAACCCTCCCTCTGCCTTCCTCCCCACAGACAAGCTGGTGTTCAACTATCCATATTCCTCCCTGTCTCGCACTGCCTCCCAGCATGGGGGGCCCCAAACACACAAAGCCTTGGATTGTTAAAAAGGCATAAAAAGCATTATACATATTAGCCCCTCATGTCCACTCCTTCTTTTTCCACACATGTTTTGGTCATACTCTTAAATTACATCATGTTCCAACTATGCCAAGTTGAAAAGCCCTGAAAGTTCAGGGCCCAATGTGTAAAAGGCATGGATTTTAGGTGAACATCAGGTTGTCAGAGTGTTTTATTATGAAGATATGAATAGCAGCCTTACAGTTATTGATGCCATTTGTTAAGATCTGTCTAAAAGCTTAGAGTTGAATGTCAGTATAATACTTAGTGAACCCAAAGACCCCAAAACACTGCTGATTTTATTATTTTTTATGTTAACTTTCTAACCATCATTATTGCTAGGTTTTTATGCTTCCAGGTAATGCTGCTCTGACTATAGATATCAGCAAGTTTAAGTATTTTATTGTAGCCATTAACTGGAGTAAGAAAATTAATGTTCAGGTGTCTTTTTTAATGGCATGTTTGATTGTCTTTACTACTTTAAAGAGGGGCTGAAAGAAAATTGTATCTGTGCTAAGTAAAGGTTCTACTACAGGGAAAAACTACTGTATGAGAACTATATCTAAAATTCTAACATGAGGAAAATTGATTTCAATCCAGTGAACCTATTTAGCACTCACTCCTGCAAAGTGCATTGTGCATACAGATGGAAAGACAGATATAAATACAGACAAAGATGGACATGAAGATAGACAAAACATCTCATAGAATTGCATTTGTTTAATGGGTTAAGTAAGTTACAATTAGAGGAAAACAGTCCAATATTATAATCTATAGTCAATCTATAATCATATTCTAAAATGGACAAGAAAAAAACTATATATATATATATATATATATATATATATATATATATATATATATATATATATATATATATATATATATATATATATATATATATATATATATATATATAAATATATATATATATTCTACCAGTTGTGTATTTATTCATTGCTACATAAATTATATTACATTATTATAGTAACTGCAAAAAAAATTCTGATTCTTATTAGTTCTGTTGACAATATTATCAAACACAGTTTTCTTTGTAATTAAACTATAAAATTATGGAATTTATATATTATCATTCGAACTGTTAAAATTGTTGAGAAGAAGTCAACAAACAAATTTGTTGTTACAAAATTTATATGGTGTTGAACTGATTCCAAGTCAGTTACAAACGTACTGAAATTAGAAAAGAGTCCTTGAACTAATGAAAAGCTGTAATCAAGAATAGTTTAAAGATTTTTCTCCTTGAACTTAAACAATAAGTAAGTCAAATTCTCACAAATCTGAAGAAAAACAAAAGGATTTATTTTTTTCCAAGTTTCATTTCTTTTTTAGTTTTTCTTGTTAGGATAGGATAGACATTGATTTCATACATCATAATTAATGTTGATTTTAATGTCAAATTGAGTACAGGTAAACATTTGGGAAAATTCTGTTAGTATTTGCAGAGGGGCTTTGACTCGTTTTGAAAACAAACTCTATCTCTATGTAAAATCACGATAAAATGATTCAGAAATTTAAGGGGAAACGTATTAAAAGTAAATGATCCTTATATAACAGTAGTTATGCAAATAGGTTGATTGGGTATTTATATCAAAATTCTTTGACCATATACATTTTATTCCTTTAGTCAAGATTTCCTTGTGCCTGCAAACAGGTTTTTTTTTTGCACATTAGGTGGTGTAAATCCAAGCATAATTAAAAATCAATCATTTTCCTCTGCAGCCTTGCTTCTCTTGATTGGGCTTGTCAGTCCCTTGATTAGTTTCCGTTGACAAGGTCCAACCCAGGCTGATAGATGGGAACCTCTCAGTCCTCATTAGCAGCCCAGCGTGAACCACAACAACACGCTGTAAATTCCCTTCTCTAATCTCCTCTTCTTCCTTCTCTCTGTTCTTGTTCTCACCCCTATTTTCATCAGCTCACTTCTTCCCTGGACAATCCAGCACCTTTATCTGTCTTCTTTATATTTGACAAAAAATAGCTCCTAATTTATAGAGCAGCAGTCAAAAGCACAAATGAGATTTTAAAAACGCACCCATGTTGACAGGGACTAAAAATCAAATTTAATGATATCGCTGGGGGAATGATATAAAACTCTTCTTCATAGAGCGTGACACTTTACAAATGGATCAAAAGATTTTTTACAAAATAAAGGTTTGAATGAGTTGTGTGGTGCCACTAGCTCGGATGGCTGACGTTTCATATGTTTGATAAAGTGGCTGTGACCACAATTTCATCCTTGAACCCCCATATATCATCAGATCCTCGCCTTCTCACCCACATGCAGCGTAAATTCACTTTCTAAAAGATCCTCAATGATATCTTCATACTCTATATATGCCCATGCATTTCAATCCGTACGAGATAAATTTATGGCTCTCTATTCACCTCCTTGTCAGTATAAATTGACTCAAAACCTTATGTCCAAACCGAATATGAAAGGATATATTTTGTGTTTTTGAATAGGCAGAAAACCAAAGAATCTTAAATTTGAGCATAAATACTGTGTTAATCTCTTTAATTTTGTTTCAAGAAAAATAATGATTAAAATAAATAAATAAATAAAATAAAAAACTTTAAACAGCCTCACCAATCTAAGATAATGATAGAATATGGATCCAACCCCACCTGCTTAATTATTAATAGAATATTTGCTCTCTTTGTTACATCATGAAATAACTGTACTTGGTTTAATGGAGCCTAGGCGGAATTTCAACTAAAGAAACTGATTGCTCTCCTACATCCACGTGCAACACAGCCAATCAGCTTTGAACCTCACCTCCACGAAAGCCAATCGGCATCCAAAGTTCATTTTAAAAGGCCTCCAATCCGCACTGTCTGCTCCTATGCGCAGGCTGTGGATGCGCTGTGTTTTCATTCAGATAACACCGTTTCAATCCACCTCCCGCCCCTCCTCCACCTTCGTAGCTAAAGCTTCATCAGAATGTCATTCCTCCTGGACTCTTACTGTGTTCCCTGTCTCATCTCAAGCCTGGTTCTGCCAGAGGTTTCTTCCTAACGGGGAGCTTTTCCTCTCCACTGTCGATTCATGCTTGCTCATCATGGACAGGTTCTCCAACCTGTGTTACAAATGGACTTCAATGTTCCAGGTCCCTGAGTGAAGCTCTAGTATCAGCTCACGCAATCCACTGAATCTCCACTTGAAGCTCAGCAAACCGTCTCACTAACCAGCAGTCTACGAACTGAACAACTTCATCTATCTCCACTCCACCAGCAGTTTCAGGCCTGGGGGGAAACAGCCCTATTCTTTGCTCCTGTTCATGCATATCTATCAAAATTCAGCACTATGTTTTCTTGCCGAGGTCTGAGCGCCAAAGACAAAGTAATTGTATCAATACATTTCTCTTTAATTGTCTTTTCTCTTCGTGTGAGTTTTTCAGATTAAGATGTCACTTTCTACATGCCAAGAAATCACCTGAACAGAACCTGTCTGACAATTGGAGTAAGCAAAAAGGTTACCAAATTTACATTAAATCAACATCCAAACTAAAAGTGAGTTTTAATTAAACTGAGAGTCTGTAGTATGTAGTAGTATGACCTTAAAACAGCCAGCAATATAACAAAAGCAGGACAAAATTCTTAAACAACTTACAAAAACTTTATGGTTAGAGTGGCTCAGACTATCCTGAGCTATCCTTATAGTTATGCTGATATAGGCTTAGGCTGCTTGAGAACGTAGGGACCACTTTTCATTATTCTTCTACACTTTGGGCCGGATTTATCAAGATCCAATTTTGCGTGCAGTAATTTGCGCTCGCAAACTGGAATTTTGCGTGAGGGGCTGAACCATGGTTTACGGGTGATTTAACAAGAGCGATTGCGTAACTGGTGGCAGGTGCAAAACTGTTGGAGACGCCCTATTTAAATGATGGTTTTGCACGTTTTGTTTGCGGCATGGCGAGTTTGGACAGCAGAAGGCGCAAAAGGAAATTCGACCCCATGGAAATGGAGGTATTGGTGGATGAAGCCAACAAACATTTAAGTGAGCTACAGCAAAGAAGTGTGCCTGTCACAAAGAGGAACGCTATATGTGAACAAATCTGTAATAAAGTAAACGCTGTTGGTGAAACCTTGCGAACAGTGGATGAAGTAAAAAGAAGATACCAGGATATTAGAAGGCGAACCAAAGAAAAACTGGCATATAACAAAACATCTGCGAACAAAAGAGGAGGGGGCACAGTAGATGAGATGCCTCTAATCAGCATTAAGGGAACAAGTACAGCTGACGATCTGTGAGGAGCAAATCACTGGAATTGCAGCTCCAAAATGGCAATGCTGGATAAACAAAATGTTTTGATGATCGTTTCCTCGTTCATTCCAAAAATATTCACACGGAGTGAAAAAATGCGTTCTCTGCGTCTCCTTGCTTCATTTCGATGTATCCTTCTTGCGACAATAACCGCTGCCATGTGTGCGCAATTACGCATACAGACCATTTGTACCTTCTTTTGAAATGTGTTAAATATAGAGCAGATACCGTTAGAAAAATTGCTTTCAGGTTTAATAAATCACTTTGCGAGTGCTAAATTCATATATTTACATGTTCTCCTCCCACAAGACTCACTTTTGCGTGTAAACACCCCATATTGCATATTCATAGCAGAAAAAGTACTAAATGGATAAGAGACGCTATTTAGCACGTTTTAAAGACCAAATCCTTTTAGCACGCTGTTGATAGATCAGTTTGTACATTTTTTAGCGTGCGCAGTGAAATAGCTCACGTTTTTATAAACGCAAACCTTTGATAGATCCAGCCCTTTATTGCTATTCTTGGGGATTCAACATGGCGGCGCCTGTAGGCAGTAGCTCAATTCAGCTCTTGACAATTCCACTGTCTCAAAGCTGAATAAACAAAATTTAGTTTTTATACACTCTGTGTATACAAAAAAACAATAAAGTTGTCTAAGTCTGTCTATGTCATTCTTCAACTCTGTAGTATTTGTCTCTCCAACCCCTAACTTTATGTGCTCTCTTTCACTCTTTTTTACAAGAAAACCTGCTCAGAGCATATCAGCTTAACAATTTCTTTCCCAGACGGAGCCATCTATGGAGCTAGTTCACCATTACCTTCCCATACAAAGGATTGATGGATCATTACTTCTGCATTCCTTGTTCCTTGTGTTTGTCTGCTTCTATCTTCTTGAACCTCCAGTCAGCCTCGGTGGAAGACTGCTCACACTATGCCTGGTTCTAGTGGAGGTTTTTTCCTATTAAAAGGGAGTTTTTAGTCTCCACTGTAGCGGGCTGTATGCTTGCTGTGAAGGTTTGCTCTAGAGTTAACGACACACTCCTCCAGGAGGAGCGAATCCTGCAAAGTCAATGACTTGATGCAATCAGCTGTTGTTCCTTAGATACAAGATTTTTAACCAATCTGACTGTATGATCTGATTGAACTAACTCTGTAATGTGTCTCGAGATGTCATGTGTTGTGAATTGGCGGTATATAAATATACTGAATTTAATTGATTTACATGGGAATGTAAATCAATTAATGCCTTACCGCTAACTTCTTTCACTCTGAGCCAAGTTGGTTTAAACATTTTTCCCCTTAATTCCTGAAAGGTACATTTAAAAAACTGCTTTTAGGATTTACTCAAATTCTTGTTATCTTGTATAGTATTTATCTGATAGTCTGGACTCTAACTGTAATAGAAAAGGGGGAAAAAAACTGTTGAACTGTAGACCTTGCAAACCAAGCTTGACCATCAAGCTGAAATATTTAACTGGATTTGGAGAAGTGTAACCTTTGTCTACTGTAAATGTATGTTTTATATACTTCCTATGTTTCCACTGTCCGTATAAAACATTGACACTTATGTTTATAGATTTGGTTATACATTTAAATCAGTAACTGTGCTTGGTTAACTTTTTCACCAGTATGTTTTTTCACAATATTTAGCAGTGACTATTTTTTTCTTCTTAAATTAACAGATTGAATATTATTATTTTTGACTTGCTTTTCAACCACCATAGATGTAGCTCTAGCATGAAGGGTCAAAATACTTTGTTGTGATAAAACTACCTTTAGATGGGCCTGTTTAGAATGAATGGAGTTGTACTCATAAAAATGTTTTGGTAGCTACAACAATAGAGTCAAGTTAAAACCATATTAATAAAACAGACTATTAATGCATAGAAAAGCTTCCATTCATTACTCCCATGCTTACCCAAAGAGAGTCCTAATTCCTATGAAAATAAAAGGCACTATGCAGGCGAGAACAAAACTAGAAGTGAGTCAAACAACTGGTTCTTCCCTGATTCCCTTGATTGTCAGGCAATCATTCAGTTGAAAAGTGGCATCAAGAAACAAATAGGCAATGAGGAAAAAGCACCCTTATGCACCAAAAGCTGTTGTTTTTTTTCATAAAAACTGACTTCTACCTAAAATAAAAATGCTTTCGATTATTTCACAATTTTATTGCCACATAATATATCTATTATTTATTGATGTAGATACTTAATTTTGTGGTTTATTTATATAATTCTAAGCACTTTCACATTTCATGGTTAAGAAGGTATTGCAAGCAGTGCCAGGATTCCTGAAAGTGAAAACCCAAATTTATTGTAGCTGTTATGCCCCTCTTTTTTTCACAACCAAAAGTTTTGGGCTCTGGCGTGACCAGCACAGTTCAGTGCCATAGAAATTAGGAATATGTCTTGGTGGTTTTTAATGATTTAAATCTGCGGATGTTGTAACATTTTTTTCACCTTCGTTGACTCCAGTTGGAGTTAAGCATAGCAGTTTGTGAAAAAGAAATCTGGGAATTATAAAAAATATTCAATAAGAAGATCTATTAGGCATGCAAATAGAATTTTATAACGTTTTTTAGGTAAAAACACAAGAAATATATAATTTTGTCACCAAAATGTGACAAACTGTAAAAAAAGGCAAAACATCCAACTGTCTTTATTAAAAACGGTAACTTTGCTCCAATTTACCTCAGCTGTAGGAATCATTGCACTGGTAATGTCTAAAGGTGGATCTACAGCTTTTTTAAAAAAGTTTTAAAAGTCACGAATAAGGCTCCTTTTAAAATGTTTTAAATTCATGACTTCCTTAAAAAGTTTGTATAATTGCCCTGCGACAGTCCAGGGTGTACCCTGCCTCTCACCCATAGATAGGAACCAGCCCCACTGTGACCATGATGGAATAAGTAGGAGAAGATCGGCAGATGGATGGATGGATGGATGGATGGATGGATGGATGGATGGATGGATGGATGGATGGATGGATGGATGGATGGATGGATGGATGGATGGATGGATGGATGGATGGATGGATGGATGAATGGTTTATATACTATATAACACTAAATAATCTTGACAAAAGAACAGGAAATTGTTCTATATTTCTATGCGCCATTCTCATTTTCTTTTCTTCAGCTGCTGTGATAATCTCTGAAGTATTAGTTTTATCATGATACCAAGATTATTTAGTAAAATTTGGGCATGTTGTCATGGAAATCCCTTGGAGCTTAAAAGGTTAAATCCCAGGCAGGGTGTCAGTTTGTTACATCTTCAGCATTTAAAATCTGTATAATTGACTGTTTCTTCCTCATTGGATTAATGACTGTATGAATCTTCACATTGTGAATTCAGAGCAGTGCACTAGACTATCCTTTCTTAGATTTCTCTAAATCACATGTGAACATTAATATGACTATAATGAGCTTTAAGTACAAACTCAATTGCAAAAAAAAAAAAAAAAGGAAAAATAACGATTAATGCCCTTGGAATTTTAATGATGTTTGACCAGCTCTCCTCAAGCTTATTTAATAGGGTCACTGTCTAACCGCATCTTAAATGGGTTCAGTTAAGTCTTGTGCTCAGATAGAAAAGCAGGGATTGTGCTCCCATCCTCCAGCCAATCGGAAGGTCTAATGCAGAAGAGGGTCCAAGTCCTCTTATCATTGCTGATAATGTCTATTCATGAGACCATGGGCTGTTTTCCTTGTTATGTATCATTAACCAGCACACCAACATCAAACCTGCTCCTTACACAAAGCCGGACGTCATGCAGCTGATGTAAAATTCAGAGGTTGGCCCCTGCAGACTTAGAAGAAAGCTGCTGTGTTACTACTTTAACTAAAATAAGCCTGGAGGTTGGCAGCTGATATGGTCAGACCCATACCAATGATAGAATGATTCCCTTTTAGAAACCAGGCCAAGCAGACTGTGACAATAACAGTTTTGATTGTGATTATTCCTGCTGGGGTCGGCAATCAAGCAGCTGATTTTGTCGACATTGTGAGGAAAATAACTCTGTTCTGTTACCTCATTTTTATTACCGCAGTGTGTTGATTCAACTGACAAGTCAGACAAATAGACTTTATGGCTTAATGTAGGCCATTCAGACACTATTCTGACAAAAAGATGCGTGTTTTTACTGTGATATTGCTGCAATTATCATTTCACTGGCAAATAAAATATTGCTTTATAATGATCCGGACTGCTGTGTAAATCTTTCTCTAAAGCAGGCAATAAATCAGTGATCTTTGACAAAGCAAACACACAAGAATCCAATATGGGATAAATCTCCTCTGTCATACACAGAGCCGTATTTTACCCACTTTAAAATCCATGCAAGAATCTAAAATTTTTAAAGAACTACTCATACACATGAAAGCAGATACAGAAGAGCACCCGCAAGGTGAGCAACATGCCTCGGCCACCTACCTCGCTGTCAGTGCATTGTTGTATGTCTCATGCGTGTTCTTTTCTCTCGCTCTGTTTGGGTATAAGACAAAGTGTGAAGAGGCATCACCATTACAGGCCATTAATATTACATGCAACAGTGGCTCACATTAACGACCTGACAGTCCCTCCCCCCTCAAGCTTGTCTCTAATCCATGGAAAAACTTACACAAACACCTTCTGAGGGAGATACTGGTAGAAAAATACTTCTAACCGAAGGTAATCGTACATTAGAGGGATAGTTCGGTATTTTTGACATGAATCCTCCGCCTAGCTCCTAGCTGGGCGGACCGAGACATGCATCTGGCTGTTGTTGAGCTCGCTGTCTGAATGACGGCGCGCAGTGATACGAACAGAGAGAAAATAGGACCAATTGATAACGACGTGTGACTTTTTCCACTACAACGTTTTTGGGATGCAAAAATATCACTCTTTTGAACACATAATGTTTTGGGAAGAGAAAAGTTTTATTTCGCTGGTCCTAAAAACCTGCCGGACTACTTTCGGCTTGACCAAAACTGGACGATAACTCTGCTCACAGGACGCTGCCAGGGGTAAGTCAGTGTGATTGCATGCCACTGGTGATGGGGATGCCATACAGATTCATGTCAAAAATACCGAACTATCCCTTTAAGACCAATTCTCACTAGAGCTCAAAACCTCTCAGCAAGAATTATATACTTGTTTTAAAGATCTTTACAATTTTGAGTTGCAGAATTTGAAGCAATATTTTACTATATAGATGTTGCAGTGATAGTAATGGGTATATATTTAGAAAATCATTTTTGAGGGATATATTTTAAAGCAAAACCTTAAGTACACTGTTTCCTTATGTGACACTACGGAAAGCCAAAATAATTCAGCCAAGATTTCAAAAACTGAACAGTGGACTTCCACACATCTTTGACACATCTTCAGAGAAATATTCCAGATACCTCATTGTGCTACAAACATCTATTCAAATAATTATGCACACATTTAAACACCCTGAGAGTGTCCAGCTATGATACACTTTATGAAGAAGACAGCTGATGTGTCCCAGAGACGATTCTTGTGGAAGCTTGTAACAGGGAATCAATCTCCTCAGCAATACCTGTGCTTAAAGGCTCTATTTCAAAAGCAATATAAAAAAATGATACAGTTTTCTAAAGTGCTCAGAGACAATGATCTTATTTTTGGGAGATTTTGAAGCTAAAACAAATGTGTTTACCCGTAAGGATTCTTTCAAAATTATTTCTTCTTACAGAAAAAAGGAGAAACATTTAAACCTGAGAACACCACCCCAGCTATAAAGTAAAGAGGTTGTACTATAATGTTATGGGCTTGGTTGTGTTTTTCTGCAGAGTGTATTGCAGCAATTCACAATTTATTTGCATCTTATATAAAAGAACAATACGTACAAAATGATAAATCAGTAATACAAAACGTCAGCCAGAAAATTAAAGCTTGAGCAAAAAAGGATCTTCCAAACTAACCATCAAAACAGTTATAAACGAAGTCAATGTTTTTGAGTATCCATCATGAAGCCCTGATTTCAGTCTGAAACATTTTCAAGTACAGCATAAAAGGAATGTAAGCAAGGCCCACTCAAATCTGACTCAGCCATGCATTTTAAATCAGTAGGAAAAAGCAAAAGATTATAGCAAACTACTGTAAAAAGGTTCACAAAACACTTTACCCAAGTCACAAAATCCAATATATTGAATCCCAATTAAATGTGTGTATAGCTCTGAAACAAAGAAAAGTTTAAAATAAATTCTTCACATCTTATACTTTAATTATTTATGTTATCCTTAACAAAGATAGTATTACATGTATTCTATCAATATGTGCATATGGGTTACATATGAAAAAGTGTGTATAGAAATTAACTTACAAGCAGCTAAATTTTAAAAGGAAATACAATTCCAACCTATAGTAAAACTACACAAGTGCTGCATGAACTCCATATATTTTATCAACAATTAAAATATTTGTCTTATTTTATAACTAGTATAGATTTTATTATGATATTTTAAGTGCAAAATAATTTTCATTCAAACAAGACAACTAAACTAATTAAACTAACAGCGATGCTGAATGTGAGGCCGTGACATTAGTTTGATATATTGTAGAAATATATGAACTGATTTATACTAACAACACACACAAAGGCTAAATTGTAAATTTTTTTAATCATGCAAACAAACTTAGACTGGGCTGATGTAGATCGATTAAGAAACAAGTTTCCCTTTTCCCATTTTTCAAAATAATGACTCCTAGTAACTAAATAAAATCAACAACATTTTCAGGAAAAAAAATTATTAAAGATCTACGAATTTTCTTATTTTTTTCCAACGTGGTAGTGTTAAAATACTAGTAAGACTAAAAACAGTACGTGTGAGCAATCAAACAGATTCTCTTTGACAAAGTAAAGATCTCTGCTTACCATCTGTTTTTGTTCCCAGATTTAGGTCTAAACCTTCGGTTCTTCAAGATTCTTAAACACTCCTCAGTGTCCCATCAGCTGACTTCTCAATGAATCTGTCAGGACTGAAAAAGCCTGGCAACTTTTTCCTGGCCAATGTTTCAAAGACAGAGTCTGTGCAGGTCCCCTTATGTTGTCCTTTCCGGGCTGTAAGTCACAACTGATTTTTTAGTGTGGTCCATTCAAAGGCCATGTGCGTCTCTTGCTCCTGATTGTGGTTTTGCCTAGTCTGCCGTGTCTCCTGTACTACCAGCACCACTGGATTTTAGCTCCGTGCCCCCCCCCACTGACTTCCCACCTCTCGTTCTAAGCTTTCTCCTCCTCCCAGGTCAATCAGCCTGTCCTCTGTAACTGAGGGTGGAGCCTGCTGTCAGCAGCCGAGGGAGGATGTTACACATACCTATGAAGAGAGAAAGTGTGTGTGTGTGTGTGTGTGTGTGAGAGAGAGAGAGAGGGAGACAGAGAGAAACACACAGGGAACAACTCTGTTCATACATGTGTATGTGCATCTCCAGCTTTAATGTGAGCAAAAAACTTGTTTATTATGTTATAGAGAGGACAGACCAAGGTGAAGGTTAAGCAGCAAACCCGCCCGTCCAGTTTTCAGTCCAATGATTTGTCTCTTGTGTAACTTATTTTGTGCGTTTGTTTTGAATCCATGTTTTGTGCAAAGCTTTGTTTTTTCTTTACTCCTTTGTTGATGGAGGACAAGAATTGGAGGACCTGGTAAGGAACGCAGAGAGGCTGAGTCAGCCGGGTCACGCCCTTGACGTACACACTAGAGTTTATACAAAATAAATAAAAAAGATGCTTTATTTCAGTTCACTGTACCAGCTCTCTTTCTCTCTTTAGGGTGTGGACTTCACATTGTAAGAAAATACTGCTAGCATGCATGAAAACATTCAGAGGTGTGCACAGGGAGGGGACACACAAATCCATGTTCATACCAGTATAAATAGACAGAAATGCTAACAGGAAAATGGTGGGTATAAAGCAATGGGATTTGCAAACATCTAACATTTTTATCACATTGTTCCTTTTTTTCCACCATCTGATAATGCATGATGAAAAGGAAAGGTGGCATGACTCTCAATTTCTTTGCAAATATCTGATAATATGATATCACAGAATAAAGTGTAAGAAAAAAAATTCCAAAATCACATAAGTCAGGCCAAAACCAAATATTACTAGGAAGTAGAAGAAAAGAATAAATGTTTCCTTTATTGGTTGTTGTTTTGGGTTTTTTTGCAAACTAAATCTAAAAATGAGCATGTGTTTTTTTTCTGCTATTACATAGGTCATATTTTTCAAGGAGATCCCTCTACTGCGTGCATCTAAAGACAAACATTTCTGGTTATTTCCTTTGGGGAAAAAAAAAAAAAAACTCAGGCTAAGCCAGACTAGATGGAAAGCCTCAGCGTGCATGATTTTTTAAGACTTTCAAGGGATTTTCATTTGGATCACCTCTCAGTCTTTGACTAGACCGTTCTTGTTTAGCATTCTTTGTACATAATGCTCCTTGTCTTTTTTTTACTCTTTTAACTTTTTAACTGTAGCCATTATTTAGGGTTGTAATAATGCTAGTGAGTAATGGAAACCAAAGTTAAATTCGTGTCACTGGATACAACTTGGTCTGTGTAGTTTATTCTAATTCTGATCTAAATCATTCAATTTTTTCCAAGGCTCTGTTTAAGCTATCGGTCCAGCTGGAAGGTAAGAGCCTACCTTACTCTCAATTATTCTTTATTTAGAGCCAAGATTGCATTGAATGATTGTCCTGAATTTAACTCCATTCCTCACTATCCCTGCAGCATAATGTTTCTACCAGATTGTTCTACTATAGTTTTTATTATGTTTTTTTTTTCTTCTTCTTCTTTTTTTAACTCAGAAGAAAAAATAGCGAAAGAAACACTGTTTTTAATAGTTAGGTGTCTTTTTGATTTTTACTTGCAAACAGTAAAAAAGACATGCGCAATATAATTTTATATCTACTTCACTGCTGTGTTTTTGTGTTAGTCTCTAAATCAAAAGTGGAACTTTGTTGAAATTAAACACAATATCACAATGTGAAGATGTTCAAGTGGTAAACATGTTCTTTAAATGCACTCTAAAATTGTTCCAAAAGATTAACATAGTTATTTAGCTCTCCTCTTGTGTTGTCACCTTCAAACCTGAATCAAGGATATATACATTTTGCTGATATTTGTGCAAATATCATTTAAATCAGTTCCAAGATGATATAGGATTGTCCCATGATGTCAGAGAATCTGTCCTTTTCCCTCGGGTGTTACATGACTCTCCTCCTCGGTTGAACTATTTAGTCCTTAGCTGAGGAGGAGGGACAACAGGTTTCCTGAGAATTACTCTAATGTGATTATCTGGCTGCCTGGGTCCCGAAGGACATTTTGTTTTAAAGCAGTAAAGCAACTAAATTAATCCACTTTTCTTGCTGAGTGGCCAAACTTGACAATTGATTAAAAGAAGTGAAAAGATGGCGAGGCTGAAATAAAATCTATAAAATAAATAACTTCAGGTCATGACAAAAAAGAAAAAGTCTGTGCATTTTTCTGCTCTGTCTATCATCCACGGGAGCATCTTTTCGAAAACATGTTAAGCTGCTTTGAAGCTCAAAAGGAATGCAGAGACTCTAAATATCTCAGATCATGACAGTCTTTTCCTTTGAGAATTCTGGCTGGTCATTCTCCCACATGCTGGAGCTTATTTTCAGCTCCCAGTTTGTGCCAGAAATAAAAATGACAGCTGTTTCTCTCTAAGATGGACTCTCACCTGCTAATATATCACCCCCCCCAACTCCTTTTCATGACTATCTTTTCTTGCAAAAAGGTTTATTACAGTTAAACACAAGTCAGCAGGCATGTTGAGTTAACAACAAAAGTTAGATGGAAACATTTTAATATTATTAAAGGGAGTCAAGTAAATAAGAAAAGTTATCAATCAACTTCACTTACCATTACGATGTGTTTTTCTGCAGACATCATTACCATCAGCGGGGGCACTGAGAGGAAATTATGCCTAGGTGAAAGTGCAAGGCTCAAGCTGTGGACATAGCAGAGAGAGAAAAACACCACCTGGCCACTTGAGGAACATCTGAAGGAATCATTAGCAGTCAGACCACCAATAAATACCCGAGACGAATGGAGAATTTAGTGTTAATCTTTTGTGGACCTGTAATAACCAGGGAACACAACATCTCAAAGCTCCTTTTCACGAGATTGCTTTTGCAAACCTGTAACTGACCTTGAAAATGATCTGTTCCACATCTGTTTCAAGCATTGTAGGCACAACTGTAATTTTCTTATACTAAAGGTAACAACAATAAAACATTTCAACATTTGGACAACTTAGTTCTGTTTTATCAATGGCTCTTGTTTTGTTTCAAATGTTGAGATTACGGCATATCCGAGTAAAAAATGTCCGTATAGTAAAATTATAGGAAATAAAGAAAATGGGTAACTCATTCATAGCAAATTTTTGGTGTGAAAATCATGAAATAAAATACATTTATTTTGTGTGTTGCTTACAGCACCTAGAAACACTGTAGATATGATTTCCATTTGTAACATTTTCTTCACATTACTTATACAATACTCAATATTAGTATTTTCTGTGATAGAACAGAGACACAAGGACATCCCTCTGACTGTTGTCTCAGTCAATGGGTCGAGATGTGGTATGGATTACCTGGGCCTCTTAGCATCCCTGGTGGGGTTGCTGGATAGTGGCCCTCCCGGGGATTCCATCATTCTGCAAGGGGTCTTCACATTTGGGAGGGAGCAATAGGGTGCAACAGAACCCCCAGGTCTCAAAATGAACTGTGTTTCATCATTGTACTTTTGTAAAATCATGGATTGCACCAAGTATTAGGATGCCCATCAGCACCAGGACACACAAGACTTTAGGACATCGGTCAACTTTGCAGTCATATCTTCTGAACTTGGGCTGCATGTCTTGGACACGAGAGTGTCCTACTACCAAGGAGATCTTGCTTCTATTTTCTATGGAGGAGCCTGCAACTGTAGCCATAAGGTCTGCAGAGCCTGTTGCAATGGCAACCTCTAAATATGGTGTTGGACACCATAGCGCGATTATCAAACAGGTACTGTGAGGCCAAGCATGCCACTGCCTGGACGGTTCAAGTGGAAAAAACCTGGTCCTCTGCAGAGCAGTAGAGACCATTGAGAAAGGCCTAAAAGTGATTTTGACAAACCATCTGGCACATCCAGAGGGGAAAGCATTACATCACATACAGTTATTTTAAGGGGTGCAAGGGGCTGCTAACCTGACTCCACCAGATGGATTTGCTCCGCATATCCATCTGGAAACCTTCCGTTGAAGTAATTTTGGGAAGGGGCGAAAATACTGGTTAGCTGATTGGCCTATGTTGGTGATAGACGGGCCAAATAAACCAATCAGATCAACGAAGCATATGACGTACTAACAGAGCGACGACGAAAACACAACCACAAGCCAGGCTACTCTTGCTGCTGCAGGTAAAGGCTTGTTAGCTCAGCAAATAAGCAACATTTCGGCAAAGGATATTTGCTATGATATATTGTTATGTAAAGATAACTTGCTCGATAGCCACGCTAATGCTAGTTTCATCGGCTGAAGCCGCCATATTCTTTAGACTGAACTGTCGCGCTTCTCATTGCGTCACACCTCAACCCGCCTCAAAGCCAATGCTGATTGGACGTTCGTTTGGTGAACTGCTCCAAATTTTCTTTAACCGAAAGTAGCCAGACTGATCTGCGAGTGAAACCTTGAAAGCTTGCGAGATCAGGATGGTCTCATGAGGCTAAGGGGCTGCTGACCTTGATTGAGAACATTAGCCTGAAAATTAGCCTGAAAATACTTTCAGGATCTTCTCGAACCAGCTGACAAACCTTTCCTCACTGAGGTTGTAATGTCAAGAACCTCAAAAGAATACACTCTAGATGTCACACTCAAAGGAAGACATTGACACTGGATGGCCTAGGAGTCCAGTGTTGCTGAAGGTGCCCAGGCGAATCGATTACACAAAGTTCCTCTTGAGGAAAAGAGGACCCACTTGCGGCAGACAAATCAGAATCCCATTTAGTTCCAGCAGTCGAATCCAAATCCAAAAATCCACAATCCAATTGACTAGAGTGAGAGAGCGATAGCATGGGTCACACACCTCAAAGAAATCTTAATAGCAGTGGTGGC